AGAAAGAAAGAAAGAAAGAAAGAAAAGAAAGAGAAAAGAAAACTGTAGCTAATACAAGACAGAAAAGGGAAGGAACAGAGGGAGCCTGAACATAGATTTCACACAAAAATATTTCATTTCAGGAAAAATTCACCTAAGGTTCTGAACCACAAATTTCTTGGAAAACCTCAGGGGGATCATGGACCCCCTGATATTCTGGCCAGAAGGGTGACCCCTGCACTTTTCTAAATAGAAGATCTGAACTTTCCAACTGTTTCTCAAAGACAAATCCTTAACTTGGCTGCTGCTATCAGTCTTATGCTATGAACACAAACTATTTCAGAGCCATGTAAGCTAGGTTCTAAAACAAAACCAAATTTGAAAACTGCACACAATTACTGCAGGAATTTGATATCTTCTCCTGATAACACTGAACCCTTGCTAAAAACCATCAACGCAACCTGTTGCTTATTCGAGGAAGCAAGCCCTAGAGATGACCCCTTCCAGAGTTACCAGGGTCATCCCTCCCCGGGTGTTTCCAGTGATGAGAATCTGCAGCAATTTCCCTTTCAGCCAAGTCCTCTTGTTTCTCTACTTGAATCAAGAATGCTCATCTTACAATATGAAGACACAGGAGCTAAACCCTGCTCAAACAAGCGGAGATAGCACGTGTTAGGGAGAGAGCGCGGGGACCTTCAGAAGAAAGGGCCCCGGTCTGTAGGTCAGGGGCCAGATCTTGTCATCTAACCTCTTTAGATCCAGTTTTTCCTCTGAGAGGCAATGGATTTGGTGGAGAAGTCATCAGGCAGGCTCCTGCAACACGCTGGGATTCGACATCAGGCGGAAATGAATCCCATAGATCCGGCTGCAGTCTCTCCCTCACCTGTTCCCACTCCATGCAATGAGCTGCGCAACTTCTGGGAATGAGATGTCAGCAACCAATCAAGCCTTCACGCCTAATCAGAAGTGCTCCACCTTGGTCCAGGCTTCTGAAAGCATGCCCCCTGCAGCTCTGGGAAGGGTGCAGCCCGAGACACGCTCAGCACAGCTACAACACTCTCACTCAGTTCTTACGTGGATGAATGAAGAAGCGCTCTTTACAAACTCACACAAGCGCTCCAAGCCAAAGCTTGCCTTACGAACACAGAAGCTGGCTGCAGGACACAGGCTCGATCAAACGGCAGTGTATTCTCTCTCTCCAACTCACCCTTTCAAAGTCTCACCTGAATGCAAGAGTCAAACTTCAACATCACACTTAGTAGTCGCTATTCTATGTGCAAGACAATGGAATGCAAATTTTCCATTGATGCCCCTGTGGAATCCTCCCATCAGCCTCACTGAAGAGGCCCTGACTCAGGGAGTTTAAGTTAGAGACAAGACGGCTTTCACAGTAAATGTGCCGCACCTGAGCCAGAGAAGAGGCACGTGGCTGGTATGGAGGGAGGACATACCTGCTTTTTTTCCCCGCAAAGTAACACTCAGTAACCTATACACATGCACAACTACTATAGATAGCCAGGTCTGGTGTGATAGCCTACGGTTGAAAGTCCTCACCTTGCACACACCCGGAACCCCATATGGGTGCCGGTTCATGTCCTGGTGGCCCCATTTCCCATCCAGCTCCCTGCTTGTGGCCTGGAAAGCAGTCGAGGATGGCCCAAGGCCTTGGGACCCTGCACTCACATGAGAAACCTGGAGGAGACTCCTGACTCCTGGCTTCAGATCTGCACAGCTCCAGCCATGCAGCCGCTTGGGGAGTGAATCAATTGATGGAAGAGTTTCCTTTGTGTCTCTCCTCCTCTACATATCTGACTTTCCAATAAAAAAGACAGTCAACAATAGGCTCAAACTCAGATACACTGATAATACAGACAGAAAATAACATAGATAAAATAGTAGTTAGCCAAGGTATAGCTACCTCTTCTATCTGCAAAGAAATACAAAGACTGACCTAGCCCTCCATTTCATGCAACCAGCAATCATTTAGGGGCTTTCACAGACATCAAGTGAAGTAAATTCAGCTTCAAAAGAGTACACAGCTTTCTCACACATTTCCCGATGCTCTTAGCTACTTTATACATCTTTAGTGCACACACACACACACACACACACACACACACACACACTAAACACTAACACTTGTGTGTCAGAGCCTGTGACAGACAAACACCACATGTCATGTTTCCAAGTCTAAGTGTGAACCCCAGGGCCTTCTCCCTTCAGTAATGCATCCAGCCACTTTGCAGATGTCAAAACAGGAATAATAGCCCAAATCTCCCTTCTGATTATTTTCACATCAAATGAAGTTGTTCCCATGATTTCAGATAAAACGAACTTTCTTCCAGGCTGTGAGGCCACACGCTTGGGCCAATGCCAGCCGGGAACTTTTCTGGCGGTGGAGGAGCCAAACTGTTGATAGAGTTTATTTCAAATTCCACTGCCTCACCAGGGCCGACTAGAAGACTTCAGTATCTATGACTCAAACTCCCTGGAAAGGTCCTCTGGGTCAAAAACTTTGACCAAAATAAAGAGAGAAATATTCTTTAAAAGGAAGGCTCCACACCCACTGCCTCCTAAAATACCCTGTTTGGAACATAGTGGGCTCTCAAGAAATAGCGTTGGATGAAGAACGCCAAACTTAGCCTAGGAAGTGTGGGTGGAGGGACAGTGTTGTGCGTAATTCCAGGGTTTGTTTCAAGTCATTAAAGATCCTCATTCAACATATAAACTCAGTACGAATGGAATACTTCCGTTACCTCCTAGGCTCTGCCAAGGACATCCATGGGAGCCCCTTAGGCCCTTCCAATGGCCCTGTTGGAGGCTGGAGTCACTCAGCGTTGGCCAGAGAAGGAGCCATTGATGGAATGACTTGCCCGGGGTCACCCAGTGGGTCAGGAGGCAGACAGGCCAGAGTGCAAATGTACTTCTTAGGATTCCTGGTCCATTGCACTTGGTATCACATTCGACTGCCTAAGCAATGACTTTCTGAGACACCACACCAAGATGACCTCACTTCCTTGTATTAGCCATTTTAGAAGGTGGCAAACTAAGGAATGGACACTTGGGAGCCTTCAGAGGGACTGCATCTGGAGGGGATGCAGTTCAGGAACCACCTTGAACTGAAAAACTCAGTCCCTCCATGGGCCAGCCGGTGGTACGTGTGTGGCAGGGCTGGCGGGGTAACAGGTCGATCACACCCTGTGACTGCTCAAGTTCACAGAACGTGTTTAACCTAGCACTGTTACTGATCTCACTCCACTTTCAACAGTGGATGTCAGTGCATCCTTCTCCAAACTCATAAGGACATGAAGTAAACTACTCCTACAACACCAAACAGTCCTCTAGTGCCATCCAGGTTACCCTGAAGTGGGTCACCTGCTGCCATGACCTGCCAAATTGACAGTTCAGGAGCAGCCCTCAGAGGGCAGACAGAAGCTTCTCAGGGGGAGAGGGTTATCCTTCTGTTTCTGTCATTGTAAGCTCAATTCAAAAAAGAGATGGGGGGTGGTTAAAGATTCAGGGATGGCATCCAGATGTAAGCGGCATGCTCACCTTCTCAGACCACAGATTCAGTCTTTCCTATGATATAAGATTTTGACTCAAATGCCAAATCAAAAGATTATTCAACCCACATAAATCAACAATAATGATGAAAATTACAAGAGCTCATAAATCCCTGACTAGCTGCTTCCTAAGCACTTCATATGTTAGTTCATCCTGGTTTCTAAAAATCATTATCCTTTTATCTCCACCTGATAGATGAACAAATCAAGACAGGAGGATGAATTTCCTGCCCAAAACCCTCCAGATAAGAACCAGTGAAGCCAGGATGCCTGCCTTGCTTACATACTATCAGCAAAACCTGCCCTCATGATGAAACATGGATATGTAAGGCGAGCTTCCCTTTATCCTGAGCCCCAACCCCTCACTCCCAGCCCTTCATCATCTGCCCATTGACAAAAATGGACCTCAGCATGCTCATCTGACTTGCCCTGGGACAAGACCACAAGCAGCAGTGCTATCTCCTATAAGACAGATCACAGTACAGTCAGCATTGGTCTTTGTGGTCACCCTGATGGCTGATATGTCTTTCAATGTGAGTAGACCCAGTCTGGATTTTGAATGCAAAGTACCATCTAGAAATTCCCTCTTTACCCTCCACATGAGCTAAGACTCCCTGAACTCTACCACAGGAGGAAAAACAAACAAAACAGAAAAGACTAAGAGTCAAATTATTTTTAATTATCCTAGTATTAGTTACCAGTGCTGAGTGAGCAAGCCCTCCTTTCACAAGCAGTAAGACACTTTCTAAGTCCTTTAAAAACTCGTGTATTTACTAGCCACCAAAGAAGACAAACTGAGCATCCTCAGCCCTATTGTGCAGAGGAGCCACTAGAAGTTAGGGTTTGCCCAAGGTCAAGAACGAGTTGGCTGCAAAGTAGTAACTGGAACCCACCCACGTTACTCCTTCCGCTAAACCTCCCTCCAGAGATGGGTTTGGCCGGCATTGCAAAGAACAGGAAATTGAAATGGCTCCTGGTAAGGCAGCAAGCCTGCCAACCCTGGAGAGGAGCTGACAAGTGACCTGAGTCCGCCCTGAATTAAAATTGGCTCCCTAAAGGAGTTGCCAATGAATCTCTTCCCACCTGCTGCCATGAAGATGTAAACTCCAGAGTCTACAACCCACCAAGCCTGCTTGTGTACAGAAGGGACCAAGTTAGAACGACAGCTTGAATGACTGAGATGCTGTTGCAAACTGAGTTGCAGAAGGAGGGAGTTTCCCAACATGAACTTACGGGCTTCACTCCCACTCCCATCACACCCTCCACACATACACTTCCTTTCGTCTCCCCTTCCCTCCTTAACCACACAACCAGCAGCCAGCAGCGCTAGCTACAGCAGCCACCAGGTAAACAGGACAAAACCCAAGTGAAAGATGGGAATCATCTAAGAGCACAATCATGCATTTCCAGAGTCATGCACCATTTCCAAAATATTGAAACAGGTTTCAATCACTTTACCTGAGTTGTTTTTGCTCTTCTGCCTTGCATGCTGTTGCTATGGCTAATCTGTGGGTTGGTGGCACCCTCGGAAAGACAGTGAGATTTCCGACAGGGAAGTGTGTTATAATTACTGTACGGAGGAGTCTCATCGGCAGCAGCTGGTGGCATCTTATGGTTTGCAAGATCAGGAATATTAGACACCAAATTCCGACAACAGCCAGCAAATTTGCTCCTGGGTCCTCCGTTTGCTGTCACCCCTGAGTTTTTCGGAGCATACAAGTCACCGAGGGAATTGGCACGCTGACAGGTGCTGAGCTGCCGCGGACTTGTCTGTGTTTCCATCCCCCGAGCAGCCTCCTCGCACTCCTTCTCTTCGGCGGAACCCAAGATTTCTTCGTTGCTTGTTAAATGTTCTTGGCTCAGATCGGAGAGTGAGAATTCCAGGCTATCCTCCCGCCAGATGTCTGCAGATTTCGAGCGTTTCTTCTTAAAGCTCGCCGTCTCCATGAAAGTGGGTCCATTGGAGGTGAAAAGATGCTGCCTCCTGCCTCCCTCAGCCAAGTACGTAGCGTCATCCCCATAGAGCCTGCTCTCCTCCGAATCTGGCATGCTCTGCACAGAGGCTGCGGTGAGGACAATGCTGCTGTCAACACTGGGTGTGACAGAGGAATCTGTGTAAGACACAGGTCTCAAGCCCATATCCACACGGTCCACCCAGATGGGGCTCCCAAAGTCCTCGAGGGTCCCCTCCTGGGAGAAGGGCTCCAGGCCATTTTCGGCCAGGGACTGTGGGATGCTGGGGGTGCTGCTGGATCGCGTGCTCACTTCTGAGTTTCTGTGGATCACCTTCCCGGAGGATGCGTGCCTTGCCCGCCGTGTCTTGTGCGAGAGGCGCAGTGAACGGGATGTGTGCTTCCGCCCCAGGCTGGCATGCTTTTCTCCATAAAACTCATGCGCTACTGTTTGACTTTCTGCGTTTCCCATGGTTTTATGGTCTGTAGCAAAGGGAGGGAGAAGCGCATAAGTGAGTCACTATGAATACGGGGACACAGGGAAGGGCAGAGCAGGTTAGGTAAGTAACAGTACATCCTTATGCATCTGGTGGGTACTAGGGACTCTTAGCTGGTAGTAGGTACTGACTGACTGACAACATCTGCTGAGCTTGCCCTCTGAGGGCACAAAAATACCATCATTAGAGAATGAGACTCCTCTTTACCCAGGGGGCCAGTGGCTGTGGAACAGTGTAGTTTTGTATTTGGATAGGCAGCAACTCTGCTCTTTCTTTCTGTTTTCCCAAACTCCCCAGTTCTAAAGTCCTACCCAGATGCATAAACAGAAAACTCTAAAAGAACCGAGGTGTGCACCAAAGGTGCAATTTTGTTTGAAATGATTTATCTATGTAAAAAAAATTTTTTTCAGAGAGTATTTAGTGACCTCCCCCCAGGTCTTCCAACGGTTGTGACCTTTTTTGGGGGGCGAGGGAGTGGAGGGCCTTGGAAATACTGAGGGGGGCTTTTCTTGGATTCTAAACATACTTCAAAATCCTAATCAAAAAACGGAAAACTTGATGATGTGTATCTGCTCAATTCCTCCTAACGATATCAATGCCACAAAGATGAAAGGTTTTAACCTTTAATTTCATAGCACCCTGAAAATCTTGACCTTGGTGGATTTTCAGAGGGATATGGAGTGGCAGTAAAGATAGAGGCAAAACAAAGCAGCAACACAGCCCAGCACCAGATTATCGGGCTTCTGTGTGGATGGAAGCCCAACCCCGGACATCCATCTGATACAGAGGGATTCACACCATCCACCACAGGTCAATCAGTCCTGTTTGGCTACACAGCTTAACTCAGGCCGCTGCTGAACACTCTCCCAGGCTTTCTCCCCGACTCAGTGACACAGTCCTGTTACCACACCATGCATGAGGCAAATCTTCAAAACTCAACAATGACACTCATCATACCCTCCCCGGGCCACCAGGTCTCCCTGTAACATTTCCTATTTTGACGTTATCCCCCAGCACTCAAACAGGGGTACGTTCCAATGGAACAACTCCGACAAGGCTCAAGTCCCCTCTGTGAGACGGAATCGTACTTGCAGAGGACTTATACACAGCCTCCCAACATGCTCTAAATCATCTACAGCTTACTCACCCTTTCTAATGCTATGTAAGTCACCCTTATATTGCACTGTTAGGAATAAACAGCAAGACCAAAAAGTCTGTATGTGTTCAGTAAGGAGGCAAATGTTCTTAATGCTTTTGATCTGTGGTTCACTGACTTTATGTATGTACTCTGTGAATACAGACATTCACTGTACTTAGGGTGGCAGAGGAAAATAGTTGGAAAGGCAAGAAAAAGAGTAACTGGGTGTATCACTGAGCTGATCACTTTAGCACCTGCATAGCTACTGATTTAGAAATACACACACACACATCTGGGAGGTTAACTAGGTCACCACCTGGAACAACAGCATCCCATATTGTAATGTTGGTTCAAGTTCTGCTTCCTCTGTATCTATCTGCTAAAATACAAACACGGGAGGTAGCAAGTGATGGCTCAGGTATTTGGGTCCCTATAACCTACATGGAAAACCAAATGAAGTTTCCTAGGTCCTGGCTTCAGCCTGACCTAGAACCAGGTATGTAGGCATTTTAGGAATGAACCAGCAAATGGAAGGGGTGTGTGTGTGTGTGTGTGTGTGTGTGTGTGTGTGTGTGTGTGTGTGTTTCAAGTAAATAAATAAGAGGAATGAATGGCAAAGATTTGCTGAGCACCTAAAACATTCACAAAGTCAGAGATACAGAAACAAATACTATGACACATTCCTTCTCTTGGGACACTGATATTCTAGCCAGGGAAGGCATTCAATAAACAAAAATGGAAACTGTATCACAAGGAAATGGGAAATGATGCTATCTGTGACCAGTGGAAAGAGATAAAAAGAGATCAAAAAAGCTTGGGATTTGGTATACCTTCAGTGATTCAGGAATCACTCTATAATCCCATGATTCAGCCTAAATCATTGCGTACACTTTTTCCAAAGGACATCTTTAGTGAAATAAAATTTGTGACAACAAGAAGGAAAAAAAAAAAAACTTCCACTTCATGCTCCTTTAAATTCAAGAGGTAAGACACCAAAGCACCAGATGTCACACTAAGCCCATAGTGGAATATTCCCAACCAGGTCACACATCTATGGTTCTCAGAGGGAATTTTCAAAAAGAGAATCTCCTCTTTATTAGCACAAGTATCTTTCAAAACAGTATGTTTATACTTTGCTGGCCGGTATCTTAAAGAAGCAAGGGAAAAATACAAAAGCATAGGGAGGGTGGGAAATTGGGTGGGCCTCCTCCCTTAATATCCCCCTTTAAACATGAAGGTAACAATATGGAAAACATACTAGTATTATCCACTTTCCTGTAGCCCTTGAACCTTCTTACCCTAATTAACTATGTAAAGAAAGTCAAAATAAATTTTATTAAAAGAAAAAAAAAAGCATAGGGAACATGAAAAGACCAACTGTCCCCAGTACTTGTGCTATCTGAACTCCTAAGAATACCACATGCTGCATTTTTTTACAAGTAAAATAAATAAATGACATATTTCAGTAACACCTTTCAAGGCCGTGACTAATTTCTTAAGAGTTTTTTGATTTTTGTAAAAGCAGAAATTAACCTCCCTGTTTGTGTCTATGAAAATACATGTTTTGCCAATTAAAAAAAAACACTTAGAACAAATGTCAGTCACAGCCCCATTTCAACTAACAGAAGAGCAAATTTAAAAGGAGACAACACTGTGTAATGAAATTAGCAGAACGTATGAACAGGCACAACTGTCGCCTCAAAGTTACTAAAGGATACGTGCTCCTATCAAATAGAGCAAACATTTGCAAGTATAAATTGTCAGAAAATATTTTTTCTTTTTTTCTTCTTCTTTTTTGACAGATACATTTTCACCAACCCCTGTTTGGTTAGGCTTGCTGCTGCCAACAGAAACTAATCAAGCTAAAAGCTTCTGAAGAGATTTCCAAAAGGAAATGGCCGCAACCTTCCAGAATTCCAGTACACGCCATTTATCACACTGACAGGTCTGTGATATTAACAGCATTCTTAGTAGCAAGATACTCTATAGCCAAGGTAGGGGAGAAGTTACTGTCACAGTCAGAACTAGAAGGAGAAGGCCAAATGCCCCAAGCCCTTCAAGAGCAACTTTCAGAGAGTGAATGAGCGCAGGAAGTTGCAGCAGGAAAGGACAGTAAGAAGCATGAAGGCCATGGGTTCTGAAATATCATTAACATGAAAAATTCACATTGCTCATAGCTGACAGGAGATGTCCTCTCTTCCTTCAAGGTCAACTTCTGTTGACTACCCCTCCCTCACATCAGCAACCCCCAGGTTCTAATTCTGTATCTTCTACCACTTCAGCCGCATGACTACCAGCCCAGTGACTCTGTATTCTAACCTTTCTGGTCCTGTTCATTTTGTTTCAAGCAAAAAACAAAGTCTAGAAATACTATACTCATGGTAATGAGTTGCTTCAAAAAGGTACAACAATGGGGAGAGAAAATAACAAGAAGCTCAGAAAAATGGTACAGGATGAGCTTCCTGAAACCCACAAAGATAGACTCTGAAATGTTGCAAAAACCTAGGACTTTCTGCGCGCCTGCATGACATCACAAATGGAAAATTCCTCACCTGATTTCACTGGACAATAAGAGTCACAATTCAGACACACTAAAAATACTGTATAAAATTATCTTCAGGCCATGAGAACAATGTATACACAAAACATAAAAAATTATGTCATTTATCCTAGGTCCCATCAAATTTCATTGTTTTATATGCAAATATTCCAAAACCTGGGGCGGGGAGGGGAGAGTGGGATTCCAAAACCTGAAACAGTTCCAGTCCCAAGCCTTTTGGATAAGGGAATCCTCAAACTGGAGTAGATTTCTAGCCTGGAAACATGATCTGTTTTAAGTTCATTGAACTTTCAGTTTTAGACAATGGCTCATTCATGCACAATGTTAGTAGCCCCATGTGTTTCTCCCATTCAGTGGTAAGTAGTACGGAGTAGACTGTATTTTAGCATAAGAAAAACTCACAATCTATAAACTTCTAGGCCGCCTTCTCATACTCTACTTTCTTTTTTGCTGTTACAGGTTCTTGTTTTGCTGGCCTGACTGGATCTTCCTCTTTCTTCTGTCTAGATCTTTTCCTGTCCAGCTCCCTTCACCAAATTCCCCACCGTGGCTCTCCCTGGTATCCCTCTTGGAGACCTCAATGCCTCTCACTTCTTCTGCTTTTCTCTGAGTGTAATGAATGATATAGTTAACTTACTTTTCTTTTTTTGTTCTCTACCCTTCTACACTAGAACTGAAATAGAAGTGATGAAAGTTTTACTTGGGCTGACTCCTCCTCGCTTAGAGCATAGCTAGAAAGGCAGTGGGTGTCCAATTAAAAAAAAAAATTATCCTTATCAGTAGGTCCTACAGATATCTATGGATTCAACCAACCATATTGAAAACATTTGGACGAAAAAGCATGTAATATGCTAAATATGCACAGACATGTGTTTTATTCTCACTATTCCTTAAATACTGTAGCATAATAGATATTTACATAGCATTTATAAAGCATTAGGTATTATACTAAACTAGAGATGACTTAAAATATATGGAAGGATGTACATTAGATTCTGAGTAAATAATAAAGCTATTTTAGGGAAGGCACTTGAGCACTCGGAGATTCCAGTACCCAAACCTGGTCCTGGACTCAGTACTCTCAGATATCAAGTTACAACCATAGAAATAGCTGAATATATCTTAACCTAAAATGTGAAAATCCACACAATCACAATAAACTATTGACAGAAACATCTCAGGGTGTCCACTGGATTCAGCATATGCCATCTTAGACACACCATGCTCTTCTGAGGAGCACAGGTATCCAATGAGCTTGCTGCACTCTGGGTCCGTCCCCTCTGCCGACCTCTGTAGGTCTTTCAGTCTGCACAGCTGGGATTGAGATTGTCCTGACCTGTAACCTGGGGAGAGGGGCTCAGCTTGTGCTCCACAGTGTTTCCTCCCCACTCCCCCCAATACCTGGGGAAACAATGAAGGATTTCCTCCTGCCTCATTCCAGTTAATTCTCATCTTTAATTGCTAGATTCTCTTCCTCCTCTTTTTGGCACTCACTGATTTGCTGAAAGAAGGATGGGAATGGGTTAAGGCTTGAAAGGGCATTCTCTCCCCAAAGTCAGGGAAATCAGTGAAAACGCTACTCAGGCTCAAGATGACCCAGAAAGGGAAAAAATGGGGGTAAAGGAGACACTGCTATACAGGGGGCAAGTGTGCTGTAAGAAAGGGGTCTGAAGAACAAGATATTCCGGGCCCAGGAGTCAAGGCCAGCAGAATAGCTGTGACTTTGACATTCTTGCTAACACCATGGTCTGCCTCCTTTAGAGTGGTAAGTTACACATGATCACAAGCAACTGCTCCAACTACCTTTAAATTCTATTGAACTAAATATAATATGAAGGAGTTAAAAGGCATCTTACAGACCTTCATCAAGATACACTAAGATTACTGATTAGGGTGGGTCATACAAACATTACACAGGAGTTACTCTCACGGGATGCTTTAACTTACTCAGCATTATGCAGTTATTCAGAACTACATTCACACGGAAACAAAGTCAATTTTCTAGATTTTTATTTTACAGTTTTTGTAAGATGTAATCATTATGGAAGAGTAGGTGATAGTTATATTTCTTACAGTTTCCTGTGAATCTATCACTATCTCATAAAAAAAATTAAACACACCAAGCTTTAACTAGCACTACCTGGATGATTCCGGTTAAAGAAAATTTTAAAGTGATGATTGTGGCAAAACTAATGTTTGGATCCCCCCCCCACCAAAACTGAAAAAACACCTAAAATAGTCTAGTTTCAATGAATAAGTTAATAAAAATAAACATTTATTGGGCACAATCTAGCAAAATAAAATCAGGAAATATAAGAATTATAAGACAAATAAATCAACAGTCCTAAATGAAGTCAGGGTTAGGAAAGAGAGAGAGAGAGAGAGAGAGAGAGAGAGAGAGAGAGAACAAATCTCTGTAATACACTCTGTTGTTCCACATGGGAACCTGGTAGCCAGAGATTGCACGGAGATCTCAGAGAAAAGGGAACTGGAAAAAGACCTCCCCTAATGCAGTCAACAGATGCACACAAGCCGCAGGCTCATCCCTGAGACACCCAGACCTGGACTAAACCACAGCAGACAGCAGAGACTTTTTGAGAACTGAATCAGGATATAAAGCACAGCCCAGCCCTCAGACCAACACCTGAGTGACGCGAGAGACAGAAACCCAAGGTAGCAGAGAAAAGACTCTGAAATTGAAACTGCTGTGAAACTCCCCACCCAACCAAGGTGAGACAGATCTTGCAATCTGGTCCCGGCTGGGTTGGCTGCCTGAGAAAACAGTAACAGGGAAAACTCAATCTTCTACTTACGCCTTCAGCAAGATCTTCAGTCTCCCAACATAAATTCCAAACACCTATGCCGCATTGAAGAACCTGGCAAATCTGTCAGTAGCTGTCAGCTTCTAAGTGGCCAGATTCACTGGAGTCATTGTACAATGACTTTTCAAACAGCTATCATAACCATGCTTCCTAAGGAATGCTAAACACTTACATAAACAAACACTTGTTTAGCATTGTGCATGCACAATTATGAATTACGAATATCAATGACGCAGAGAAACACAAACAAAATGGAAGTAAACACTAGGCAGCAACTGTTAACCATGGCAATTGTGAATTTTCTTAGTGCTACAGACGAAAACATTCCAACTTATAGAAAGCCATGCTTTCAAAGTGCTCAACCGACAAATCAAGGAAAGATATTTCCACAATCACAAGCTGTCAAGAGGACAGAGAAGAAGGAAATACAAAGATATAAGAGACTCTGGAATGTACCTCCGCACCGTGATGACTAAGGCTTGGTCGACTGGGCATATCTAGAATGCCTGGGCTTAGGCGTGATTTGGATTTAGGAAGTTTTTTAGATTTTAGAATGTTTGTTTATGCATAATGAAATATCTTCAGATGGGGCCCCAAATCAAACCAGAAAATCCACCAATGTTTCATATACATCCTCTACGTATAGCCTGAAGGTAATTTTTATATGATATACTTTACAAACTCCAAGAATGAAACAAAATTTCACGACAGTAAAGTTTCCACTTCTCTCATTAGGTTGGCAACCAGAAAATTGGATAGTTAAGATCCTGGGCTGGGCAATGCTATAGTCAGTTAGCCTAGGACCTGTACATTCAGGTGTAAATGATCACAAAGATGATCCCAACTCCGAGGGACAACACCTCTTCAAGAGCACTCTGCTCATCCCCACAGGGTAAAACCTCCCATTTGAGGTGCAAAGCTCAAGCAGGTGAAAGGTGTGTTTGAGAATATAAGTAGATACGTTCCACATGTTCGCAGGTGCTAAATCTTTGTCAACATTTTACAAGCAACTACTTTGGAGAAATTGTTTATGGGTCATTCTCCTTTTTACAACTACATTTTGGGAGAATACTTTCTAAACTTGCACTAGGAAATACACAACTCATTTTAAACAAATAAATAAACCAAACACATCAATTGGATCTGAGTTACTGATTTGGTGGTGGTGGTGGAGCGGGGGACAGGGAGTAATTGAAGAATGAGACTGTGGGCACCCTTTCTGACAGCTACAACAAAAAGGCATCAAAAACAAATTTCCAACAGATGGCTGAGGGAAACTGCTTAAGATAAAATACTATGGGGCCCAGCATGGTACCGTAACGGTTAAAGTCCTCGTCTTGAATGCACTGGGATCCCATATGGGCACCTGTTCATATCCTGGCAGCCCCGCTTCCCATCCAGCTCCCTGCTTGAAGCCTGGGAAAGCAGTTGAGGATGGCCCAAAGCCTTGGGACTCTGTATCCATGTGGGAGACCTGAAAGAAGCTCCTGGCTCCTGGCTTCAGGCTGGCTCAGCTCTGGCTGTTGGGTCCACTTGGAGAGTGAACCAGCAGACAGAAGATCTTCTGTCTCTCCTCCTCTTTGTATATCTGACTTTACAATAAAAATAAATAAATCTTTAAAAAATTTACAAGTGTCAAGCTTAGACTTAATCACCCATCTCCTGGTTCCAGTGCCACTCTGTCCTCCTGACATGTATATGCCTGGACACAGTGTGTCATTGTGCAGGGGTATTTAGATACTGACACACAAGTCCTATTTTATAAACTCCTTCCACATTTTGTTTCATCTCCTGATGCCATTACCAGCTTATCTGTCCTGATATTTATAACCTAACTATGCTGATGTTTTTTGTTTAGTATAGCCCAACTCTTCTATCATGGTGCTTATCTTCTATTAAAACATTAGAACCACATGGAGAACTGGAGAAAATCCAAGTTAAATTGGTTTTGAGTCAAAAGGTAACTGTATAGGTTAGGTTTCTGCACTGTTGTTAAGGAAACTATAAAGTTTCAGCATAAAACACTTAATGTGGTAAGCCATAATTATTAATAATGTGATTTAAATGTAATGATTACCCCGCTGTACTTGAAAATAGACCTCTGAAACCGTGAGAGAAAGGGATGAAATGTATTTATTTCAAAGTTAAATTTGAAACGAAAATCACAAGACAACAGATTGCAATTTTAAAATTAGATTCTAGTGGGAGGTCTTGGTTTCAAGCCTGTTTTTTTCCCTACTGGAGGCTGAGCTTAAAGACAGAGGGGGGAAAGGAGCTAAGATTAAACTGAGACAAAGTTCTGAAAGTTTTCGCTACGCCGTTACAACCCTTGCAAAGAGTTTGCCAAGTCACACACAAATAGCCCTAACACATGACACTAACCCAGAAAGTTTTGCAACAAATAAGAGATGATCTCTGATTCAGGAAAGATTATATTATTTTTAATGTGTTTAGCTTTGCCCTCTCAAGATGATCCAAAGCAAAAATAAAATAGATCATTGTTTTGAAGTACAATTTTTAAGCCCTTTTTCAAACATAATCCATTATAAAGATGGTGAGGCTCGGGGATGAATGTAAAAGATCCTGAGGGCAATTCACAGGAGAAGAAAAGATTTCACCAGGACTTGCTTTCTCTCAGTTTTTCTTAGTTTTAACACTAATGCTTTTTAAATTGTCAGATGGGTGCACCTTTAATCCAAGGAAGTAATTCCAGATTTCTTTTTCCCACGAGCTCCACACAACACAGTTAAGTGCAATTCTCATGAAAGGTACCTGTTCTTCCACTTTGGAAGCACTTCCCCAAATTCACACAAGTATTGCAAGCTCACATACAAATACACAAACCTACCTTAGAAGGCAACAGTGGACCCCAGGCCACCTTGCCGCAGGAGCACTGTGGCATTGAGATATTCCGATGGCAAGATGGCAGGTGCCTGGGGCTGGGCAACGTGTCAACACCTGCCCCCCGGGGTGGCCATTAGAATCTCATCTGGGACCATGCACTGAAAACCTGAAGAGGAGAGGGTAGGGGAGACATCAAGACACAAAGTAAGTGATCAGCCAGAAGGAATTTCCTACTAATTCCATGTTCATCAATTCTTTGTTATTTACTCTGTATGAAGTTACACACGCCAAATCAGGATGCAACATGTAGCTAATACGGGCAGCAGAGTCCTGTCACTGGCCTGGTGCACTTACCTCCCTGACCTCTCTGCCACCCAAGACATCTGCTGACTGGAATCAAATGAGAGACTGAAATGGAAAACACTTCCAGCAGGGACATAGAGAAAATTGCCCATTTCACGGACCCTCCCCTGCAAACACAGAGGCAGCAAAGAAACAAACTTATACATCCAGAACTAAGAGAACAATAGGCAGTTCTCCTTGATCTAGGAAAATATGGTATTTAACCTTGAAGTTAGTGACTCACGCTTGCAGGGAAGGGAACACAAGATCTGGGCAACACCCCATTATTACCCCCACACTCTGTGCCCTTTTCATAATTCCCCATGGCTGTCCTGCTCCTTCCCTTTGCCTAAGCATCCACCTTCAACTGCTCTCTGCACATTTCCAAATTTTCAAAGCAGCTTCCTGAATTGCTTAGGAACTGGCACAAATTAATACGCAACAGCCCATTTATATTGAAATGGACTCATTACCGTGCCAGCTGCCAATAATTTGCAAGGCTGGATTGTTGCTGCCAAAGGAGGCCTGCGGTCGGCTCTCCTTCCACCTGCACAAGAGAGGCTGATAATGTGTGTGTGTGTGTGTTTTCGATTACTTAAAAATAATTATGCATTTTGTCTACCAGAACTACATTTTTCCCTATCTAGATTCTAGTCCCTGAACTGAAAAATCGTATGGGGAGGAAGGTGAATATTGCAGCGTGTTATTTATAAGCCTGCTATACTCACCCCCCACCCCAACAAAAACACAAAGCCAAAATTGGGTTTGCTATAACATATTTTTCTACATATTGCTGATGGAGAAAATAAAAAGTAGCCATGACCCTGACTGTGGCATTGATCCATGATGTGGAATCAAATGAGTCAGAGTTCCATGCTTGTTCTCCTGCGACTAACAGCTACCATTAGCAATTGCTTCAAAACATGTGAAATAAAAGACAAGCTTATTTTGGTTTAAGTTATTTTAAAATTCATACAATCCAGGGTCTTCCAAAGGTTCATGAAATTAGTATTATGAATAAACTATGCAATGATTTTTAAAAATATCTGGCATGAAAAGACAAATCTCTTTTTGAAGAGTTACTGATTTGAGTTTCAGAAAGAATGGCTCTTTCCCTGAAAGAGACACATATACACACACATACAAACAGAGTTCTACTGGTTCAGTTATCCAAAGCTTACAATGGCTAGTGACAAGTGAGGGTCAAAGCCAGGAACTGGGAATGTAGTTCCAGTCTTCACTGGGTTGTGGGGAGTCAACTACTCGGGCCATATCACTGCACTGGGAAAAGCTGGGAACTGGAACCGGAATCCAGAAGGAAATCCTGCACTCCAAAGAGGGCTGCATGTGTCTTAACCAGCATCTTAAGAACTTGGCCTCAATTCCATTTTCTACCAACTTTTCAAAGTACTCTTATAAGCTAAGGTTACAGAGACTCATTTGGCTTATGACAAGTTAAATCTCATGGCCTTTTTAAGCAGGTTCTGGCAAGTCAAGAACTCTTTTTTTTTTTTTTCTCATGACCTGTAAAGAACTTGATTTCGCCTTCAAACAGCTAAGTACCAAGCTTAATGTTGGCAGTTTGGGCCTGGAGTGAAACCTCCTAGGTGGTCAACTCTGGCTTTGAAAGTCAAATTTTTTACTTGTGGAGTAATCTGAGCCAAACTCTTTAATATCAGCCTGTTCCTTGCATAAGCAGGAATTATAGGAGTTCCTAAGCCATTGGGTTGTTGTGGGCATTAAATAAGATCATCTATGTTAAGCTGCTATCGATCAGTTCTCAACAGACATCAGCCACCATTTCCATCCTTATTTAATACTTTGTAAACCATAAGCGCTATGGGCTGGGCTACAGGATTTTCCTTACCAGCATACCTACTTCACTGAGAATACATCTATGCTGTAGGCTGAATAAAATCAGTGACCATATGTTTGCCACACAATAATATGGGTATGGCCAGCGGTAGGCAACTGCCTGAGTTGCCCTATACCCAGACAAATGTTACACTGTTAGGAGAAAAGCAGCCAGTAACTGGCAGGTATTCTGGGCCTGGTTAACATCAATTTTGTGTTAACTATACCAGTGTCCCAGCATAGCTGCCTACACACACACACACACAGACAGGAAAATGGGGATGTACTGGAGTGGAAACTACCAAGGCATGTTTGAGGGGAGGCATGGGGAGGAATAGGGAGGAATGGGGAGGCATGGGGAGGAATGACTTCTAGGGGTTTCCATGGATCTGGCCATTCCACTTGTAAATAGTGAGGGAGCTGAGACAGAGTAGTTTAGAGAGGTGAATCTAGAAACCATGTCTGAGTCAGGTCAATGCATCTGTACACACGGAAGGGCTGTGCTGGGCTAAGAGGCATCACCTGCCATCTGCTAGTGGACACAGAAGCTTGAACTAGGGGGCATGTCTGGTTGGGCTAGACCCCGGTATCCCACCTTGAGTGTCAGGCAAGGGGTGGGCCACAATACCCATCATACATTAGAGAATCAGATTTGGGGCAGATTCTATAGGGAAGTTGTAGACTCACCTCTGTGGGACTGTAGTACCCACTTGTTTGCAAAGAACTGTGACTGGTAACTGGTTGAGTTAGAGTGAACCACGAAACTTACCAAACTTGTGGGAGCCAGGACAGGGAGAAGGCTGGGTGGGGCTAGGCTGCAGCACCAGCCAGCACCTGCAAAGGCTGGGACTGAGGACAGACCATGCCTAGCAAGGCTGCTGTACCTGCCAGAACGCATGAGATCCAGGGCTGGGAGCAGGCCTGATAGGAGAATTTGGGGAACTCCTCTATTAGGCTGCAATTTCCACTGGAGAGCATAAGAGCTGGGGGTGGATAAGGTTCAGCTGAGCTACAGCACCCAAGGGTGTGCATGACAGCCAGAAGGGATGCAAGACAGAATAGGCTAGGCTGCAGCACATGCCAGCACAGGCAAAAATGCAGACTGGGGGTGGGATTGGGAAGGTTACTAGGGATTAACCTAATTAGGCTATGACACCCACTGGTGTATGTGAAGACTAGGCCACAGCAATCTGTCAGTTTGCTTGAGAAATGGGTCTGGGCAAAACTAACTAGGCAGCTGCATTCACCAGTATGTGTACTGGCTGGCGCAGATGACAGACTGAACCTGACTGCACTAGCTGGCACACACAAGAGTCAAATATGAGGTCACCCCAGGCAAGGCTTCTTGGGGGATTCCCCAACTAGACTGCTGGATTCAAATGTCAACCACAGGGAAAATCACAAGATATGTGGTCTGACCTTAAGAGTGCATGTATCAAGGCTGCACCTGATACCTGTGCAGAGGACAGCATGCTCAGATGCACACAAAGTACATGATAGCCATTCACCTAGGCCAGCAGAGGACATCAGGTGCCTCAGCAGAAGATGGAAAGCAGCAGAAGAGGTTGGACAACTCTCCTGGTCAAGCTCTACAGCAAGTATATGGGTCTATGGATGTACACTAAGATGGATTTGGTCAGCCAATAGACCTTGGAAAGATTCTCTCAACCCTGGTGCAGCAAAGCTGACAGTGTCTCAGAATTATCAAAACCATTCAAGTAGCACCCTCAGAATACTCAGCAGGGTTTCTAAGGCATCATCATATGACTGTCCCCCATCCCTGGGTGCTAACATACTATGACAGCAAGGAGCATCCCTCTCCCTCTATAGACGCAGGAGAAAAAAAAATCGAAACACTTGTCCACCCACCTTTCTCCATACTTGACCCACCTTAATCAGAGGCCCACATGGGCATGCATCCCTCTCAACTATGTAAACAATATTAAAAGTTAAATAAATTAAATAAAAAGAACAATATGGAGAATTCACTAATCTGCTCGAATAGTTGACACACTCAACACCCCACATCTCGCTCCCCGCCACCACACACACACACACATTCTCCCCAGGCTGAGTAAATCCTGCAGGACCAGTCTGCCTGCTCACATTCTCTTCATGTGACCCCTAGTGATGGGAGTGTTGACTAAGCCAAGTTTTTTGGTCTTGGTCTGATTCATCCTCAACTTAGTCAATTTTTGTGTCGGAAGTCAAATAACCACTTTTCACAGGGAAGTGCTATCTACTGGAGGTGGGGAAGGTTATCACCAAAACTAATCTCTGGCTTCAAAATCTATAAACAGAAAGTAGAGCGCCAAGTCCCACTGCTCCTACCCTGCAGTACGATTTAGGAAAAAACACTACAAACATCAGTTCATGGTGTCTCCTAAAGTCTGTCAGACCAGAACTTTCTTTTTCACCTGCAGATATACTCATAAGAGATTTTCTGTCATTTTTTTTAAAGCTTTTGTGAGTTCCAGGAAATCAGAGGGAATAGAAAAAAAGGGTATTTTGTTTGACCTCAAAATACCAGGCCATATTATATCCCAGATTATGTAATGTTAAATGAGTAAACTGTCCAAAAAACCACCTACAAAAATGAGGATACAACATCATCTACTTTATCAACTCCTACCTGGAAGGTTGTTATCAGAAAGCAATAAGAGGATTGATATCAAGCACTATAAACGATGTATGCAGTTCTCACTCTGCTTATCACAATCTGGTGCCCCAAATGCTCTCTAAATAACCAGCTAATGAGAATCTGGAAGTTTGTTCTTATCTTAAGGAGAGAGCGAAGGCAAAGCTCATGAATCAAAATCCTGAACATTTATTTCATATGCAGTTAACACCAAAGAGATTACGTGTTTTTTTTGTATTCATTCTTAGTTTCTAAATCAGTACTGAATAGATGGATGTACAGACGGACGGATGGATGGACAGATGGATGGATGGATGGATGGATGGATGGAT